GTCATGAAGAGCACTATACAAAAGCAATTTTCATTGATTGACTGACTGATTGAGGAAAAGGGTGAATGTTCTTTCAGTTTAAGTCCTTACTGAAGTATGATTTTTATAGCTCCTGACAGTTCTTCACAATTTGTAGTTAAATGCCATGTTAGCAAAAAATAAATAAAAAAATAAAAAAGGAGAGAAAAAGGGAGAGGAAAAAAATAAAAATTAGAACCTCTCTGGGATTTCAGTACAGCTGACTTGAGCCAAACAGATAAATAGATGAAGATAAGATTAATTCAAGGTTAACTGCTGTAATTCCTCCCTGCAAAATATTTAGGTTTTAAACATACAAATTGCTCAAATACCTTGTTAATAAATTAATTGCATAAACTAATTAGTAATACTGACAATCACCTAGTTCTTGTTATCCTTCTGTGGAAGGTGCTACTCTTTCTAAAGAAAAAGTTAAATTATATTAGTTTTAATTAACATTTTGATTTAGAGAAGCATTCGGCATCAGTGCCCTATTCTTACAATTTCAAAAATAATTAGTCACAGCTCTCTCTATAAAATGTTGCTCTATAAAACGCATTCTTTCTTTACCTAATTTGGGAAAATTTTTCACTCTGTACTATAACTAAATCAATGCTAATCTATGGGCTACAGATGCAAATACATGCATAACCAGTGATGAAACTGAAAAAAATTCACGTAGAAATGTTACTTTCCAAATTACTGTAGCAGATCAGTGTCTACTCTGCTACTAATCAGAAATGATTAGTAATCTGATCAGTTACTGTTGGTCTCTTCTTAAATTTTTAGTTTAGCCTTCTAATGACCTAAAAACACTTGGGGGAATTTTCTTCTCTAACTTACGTAAACTGGGTTTTTCTTAATTGTTAAGTCAAAGCAATGCTGGTGAGGCAGTAAATTTTACTTGAAATAGATTAATTTAATTGTAATGTACCTTCATATGGACTAAATTTTAATGCTTGCAAAGTTAGATTTGTTTGCAAAATATGAAAGATGGTTTATTTGAGGAACATTTTTAAAAACATTTAAGATCTATTAGCAAGTCTCAAAGCAGGCCATAAAAAACATATTTCCAGGTGAGCGGTATGTCTTTCCCAAGATGCTATATACAAATAGAAAGGCTGCGAGAATGCTGGAAAACCTTTTATTTAGTTAGATCCACTATTTCCTTTACTAGGGAAGCTTGAGAAGATAACTTTTGCAATATGGAATTGACATTCTTCATGCAATTATGCTTCCAGCAAAACAGATCCAGGTTGGGGGGAAAAACAGTTCAAACTAGTAAATAATTGCAGTATCATTGCATCAGTTTAGTTTAAAGAGCTGACAAACCCTCTCTAAACTCCAAGCACAATTAGTCATTAGGGTCTAGTTTTTCAGCACTGTTAAGCAATTTGTAACCCATTCCTTTTAATAGGGTTAGACATTACTTAACCGACACAGATGCCTTGAAAACTGAAACCTCAAGTTATGAAGCAGCAACCTTGTTCATTACCTTCTGTGATAGGCAAATCATCTATAAAAAACAGTATTTAATGGGCAACCAATGAATAATCAATGGCTCACTTTTCATCTGAGTGTGAAAATGAAAATAATCTAATACAAAGTCCCACTGGTAATAGGCCAAATCTTGGGTTCTGCTGCTCTTCAGGGCTGATTTATAAGGTCTTGGAAAGCTGATGTAAACAGATGATCAATGGGACCCATCCCTGCTCATAATAACCCCCAACTGGCCCACTCCCTCTTTTTCAAGTCCATCCCTCCAGGCTATTAGCTCTGTCCAGCTAATTCTTCCCACTACTCCTGCCTGCTGCTTTTACTCTGGCCATCCGTTCAGTCCAGCCGACTCAGAAGTAATTTTATACGCAGCAGAGAGCGGGTAGAATTGATTTTTCACTCAGCGCTCTGTTCCCATCTGAATAATTATCAATTTTACTGCCTCATAAAGGGAAGAGTCAAAATTTCAAATCAATTCAAAAGAGCTTCTGAGACGACAGTAACTGTGCATAAGAATAGAGGTCAAAGTTGTCAGTGACCTAAGGAGATGATGTCAGATAGTTGACATCAGAGGCACTCAAGATGATACAACCTAGTGCTAATGCAAATCATATTTATGCTGACTACCAGAGACCAGACATTAATATTTAAAAATGCTATCTGAAAGCCTACATTCCAAATAAATAGAATATATTCCACTGTTAATAAAGATATATCACTACTTAGTCATATGCTATAATGTAAAGGATTACCAAGTATTATTAACACAGAGAGATTACTTAAATCAACAAATGCATGGTAATTCTGAGTAAAGGCAAACGTTACTGTCTCCTGAACAACCACAATACTTGCTCTGCACAGTCTGATGGTATTTTGTCTAGGACCACAGACTACTACTTTCTAATTTTTTTTTTTAACCAACTTAAAAGTTTCTGCCAAGTTCATGGGACAATACTGTAATTATGGCTGTGTGCTGGCAGGATGATTTGGTGGTGGACTTGTCCCTTGCCACGGTGAAGGATGGGTCTGATATTTCTTTTCTTCAGTGGCTACATGCTCTAAGTTAGTGGTTCTCAACATGAGAGCTATGACACACTCCCAACAGTACCACTGGCCACTGCATCTGAGTGGGTGGGAGGGAGAGGAGAGATGCACTCAAATCTTAATAGAATGCATATTTTGAGAAGGTATTCCAGGTGAATCTGAGATATTATCTCCACCCTGAATATCAATGGTGAGAATATCATGGACTCGGGGTTTTGAGCTAAATAGACCTTGGCTCAAATTCCAACTCCATTACTTTCCAGTTGATCTCTCTGGACCTCAATTTATTCATCTGCAAAATGGAAATGATGATACCCATATTTCAGAGTTGTAGTATGGTTTAAATGAGAAAACTTCTCTGCCAATACTCTCCTGGTATGTCATCCTCTGTCATCACTATATTAATCAAATTATCAAATAACTAGTGAGTTTCTTGTCTTTGTCCCACATGACAGGACATTTTTAAGGAGAGAAATTATATCTTATGAGTTTTACTAGTTTGTACCTTGCATGTAATAAGTCCTTACTAAACACAAGGCACCTTTTTCTTCCCTTTACTATATTACCAACATGTCATAACAGTTCCAGGGCCACACCAAATAGTTATAGGTCTACAACCTTTTGCCTAGTTATATAAAATATGAATTACACCAGCTCCCCCTGGAAAATAACTGGTTAACTGAAGCATCACCACAAACAAAGTTTACATAATTTCATTAACTACTAGCAAAAATGATAGGAAGGAAACCTCTTTCATAGCTGTCTTATTCTATTTTCATATTTATTTGCATATAAATAAGAGTGACATTTTCTGATGATTGTAGGTGCCTTGTTTGCTCCCCAATGACCATACAGTAATATACTGTTGAAGTGTTTGCATATGCAAATTACAGACCATTATGGCTATAATTTGGCAAAAGAAAACAACTGAAAACAGTATGAATATACTTTCCAAATTTGGAGGAATTAGAAAATATCATATTGAAGGTATAGCCATAAAAAAGGTATTATTCTTTTTGAAATATTTCTGGCATGTATATTCATTGACTTAAAAAAATTTTTTAAGTCAATTAAAAAATTTTCTTTTTTAGAAATGGGGTCTCACTATGTTGCCCAGGCTGTTCTCAGACTCCTAGGCTCAAGTGATCCCCCCACCTCAGCCTCCTGAATAGCTGGGACTACTGGCATCACTGTGCTTGGCAATATTCATTTTTTTATACATGTAGTTACTATTATTTGTACAATTTTTTTTTGAGTTGGAGTCTCACTCTTTTGCCCAGGGTTGGAGTGCAGTGGCATGCTCACGGCCACCACAGACTCGACCTGCGGGGCTCAGGCGATCCTTCTGCCTCAGCCTTCCAAGTAGCTGAACTACAGGCGTGCATCACCACGCCTGGCTAATTTTTTGATTTATTGTAGAGATGAGGGCTCGCCAAGTTGCCCAGGCTGGTCTCGAACCCGTGCGCTCAGGCAATCCTCTCACCTCGGCCTCCCAAAGTGCTGGGATTATAGGTGTGAGCCACTGAGCCCGGCCTACAAGTGAGTTTTTAAAAACAATATGAAACTTAGCTGTAACCCATGTTAGCAAGTCAGAAACACACTTGAAAATAGAGAAAACATGACTTTATTACTTCTTTTTTTGAGTTGGAGTTTCACTCTGTTGCCCAGGTTGGAGTGCAGTGGTATGATCACAGCTCATTGCAGCCTTGACCTTCTGGGTTTAGGCAATTCTTCTACCATGGCCTCTTGAGTACCTGGGACTACAGGTGCACGCCACCATGCCTGGCTCAGTTTTTAATTTTTTTTTTGTTGAGACGAGGTCTTGTTATGTTGCCTAGGCTGGTCTTGAACTTCTGGAACTTCTCCCACCTCGTTCTCCCAAAGTGCTGGGATTACAGGCATGAGCCACTAAGTCCAGAAGTTTTATTATTTATTAGGTAAATGTTCTTGGAAATATTACCTAATCTATCTGAACCATACTTTCTCATCTTAAAATGAGAAGAAATATAATATGAACGGAAAGTTCCTAGCAAGTTACTTAGCACAGACTAGAAGCCCAGCAAATGGTAGTTTCACAATATACCAGAGCATTCACAAGGCAAACTGAGCATTCACAAGGCAAACTTAAGATATTACCAGAGTCCTTAGGAAAGAAATAAGAGGTTGACTGTTTTTAGTTCCAGTTTCATCCTATTCTTCTCATGTGTCTGGAAAAATTATCCTTTTTTGCATTCTAGCTTCACTGAGGTGTGACGAACTGCATAGCGATTTCTTGAAGGTGGGTAACCCTGAGGCCAGTGTTCTATCCCACTTTCAGGGAAAATACTCCTAGACAATAACTGGTAAAAGTCTTGACAAGAACAAGCTCTAAGAGATATTCAGGAACAGGCTGGTTTCCAGGAAACTACATTGCTTAAGCTAGCTGACCAACCACCAGTTACCTGCTGTAGGACATCTGGATTTTGTTGCATAAAATGTAATAGTCTCTGACCAGCCTGGGTAGCCTCTCTGCATCGAAGTGGCTTCTTGCCCTCTTTTGCTATGTGCTTGAAGAGGTAGGTGACGATGTAGTCTAAACTGGTACAACAACTGGAGGAGACAACTGTATCTGCACAAACAATAAATAAGAATTCATTTACATTACTGAAGTGTTTGCTTAATTTGATTATAATGGCTCCATTAAAAAATAATTACTTTCTGTTTTCAAAGCATTTTTACCAAACTGTAAGTTCCTTGAGGGCAAGAATTTTGCCTCATATAACTCTGTAAACCCAGCGTCTATTACAAGGACTGGCCTAGAGACACAATAGTAAGTAAATGATTCCCAGATCAAACGAGACAGAATTTTCCATTTAACAATCTCTGTTCAATTCAGGTGATTATTTATTAAGTAACTACTTAGTGTAAAGGGCTACTTATTGCTCTGTTTCATGGGCAACAGGGGTCCAGTCCTGGCTCTGGTGTCAAGGAGCTCACAATTTTAGTATACAAGTTATTGTAGCACAATGCTGTGTAAAAATGAGTGACACACCAAGGGCTTTGAGAGATCACATTTAGATGGGGATTAAGGAGAGTTTGGTGAAGGAGGCAGCATCTGAGATGGATTTTGAAAGATTATTCCAGTTAGATATGAGGGAGGATATTTTTCAGGTAGAGGGATTAGCAGAAGGCAACAGTCTAGTGGCAAAGTATGGATTTGGGAACCAGACAGCTCTGGTTTCCAATCTCATCTTTTCCAACTACTTGTCTGCTGTTGCTTTAAAAGAGTCACTTCACTTTTCTTCACCATTAATAAAGTTTACAGAGTTGAATGAGAAGAAAATAACACGAAGTTCATCAGTAATAAAAAAATAGCTGCTATTTACTGAAAGCTTACTATGAGTTGCTGTTAAGTGTTTTGCATGGGTTATTATTTTTAATACTCACAACACCATGATAATTGTTACTATTATTATATCAATTTACAGGCAAGGATACCAAGTCTGCCAGAGATTAAGTGACTTGTCCAAAGTCACATAGCTAAAAGATTGTGCAGCCAAGTATTAAAATAAACAAGGAGTTTAACTCTGGATCTGTATTCTTCACTTCTACGTTAAAACTAGGTATTAAGCAAAAATACAAGAAGGGTGACCCCCCAAAAAACAGAATTATGTTTTGGAGGGCAGGCCCCTTGTAGTACGGGTTTCCCCCACTAGGTAAGTGTTCTAGGAACTCATCGCCATCAGTTTATCAGCTAACGTTGTTACGAGAGGCTGCATTCAGCTTCAGTGATTTTTTTTTTTGGAGATTCTTTCAACACATTTGCCTATTTCATGAGTAACTGATGAGAGCACCTGCCCACCCTGCGCTGAGTGTTCAGCAGTTTTTGACCCAAAACAGCATGGCCCCACCCTCCCTATTCACCTCTCACATTCAGCAATATTTTTGTTTCTCCAGTTAAAAAAAGTCCTCAAAGAGAAACATTTTACCGATGTGGAAAAAGTGAAACAAAAAAATGGCAGAAGCACTAAAAGGCATCAAAATGGATGAGTTCAAAAACTGTTTTGAGCAGTGGAAAAAGCATCTCGATAGGTGTATTATGTCAAACAAAGAGTACTTTGAAGGTGACTGAAGTTTAAACAATTAAGAATAAATACACACATTTTTATAAAGAAATTCTGGGGGAGGGGTTTGGTCCCCCCTTTGTGTACGTAAGCATCAAACACCTTCTTAAATCACAATGGGCACTCAAAAAATGGCAGTAACTACTGGTTTGCCCTCATAGAAAAATGAGTATATATTCAGGGAGTAGAACTTTGAATTTAAGAAAGAGAATTTGTAGGGGAGTCATAAAAGAAGGCTGACACAGTAGGTTTTGGGTCTTATTTGAGGGCATCCAGTAGTGGGCTGCGGTACTTACATTCAGTTTGAAAGGCAACAGAGGTGTTAGTGAAGGTTTTGTGAGTAAGTGACATGATAGAGCAGCCAGGCTCAAAATGTCTGTGTCTGACTCTTAGGCCTAGACGTTTACTTAGTATCTTCTTTGTACACTAAAATTATCTCATTTACCTCTAAAAACTACTTTGTACAGTTGGTATTATTTGCATTTTTAAATGAGAAAACTGGAGCTGAGTCATTAAGTAGCTTATCCAAAGTCCATGGTTTTAATTCACAGCATGACACTGCTCACATTTTTTTGGCTAACAGCAACATTTGGACATGATCCCTGGGAGTTTATGAATAGTAAGATAAACAATGAACAAGAGCAGCGATGAAAAATGGCGAGTGGGTAGACTCTGAAGAGAAGTAGACTAAGAGAGTTGGGCTGGAAAGCAGACTATAAATTTCCTAAGGGAATACCGTTTCATTCATCTTATTTATCTCTGAGGTTCAGACATGTGTATGCCCAACATAGACTAGAGGTGAACTATTAGCTGAATTAACTAAAGAACGGGTAGCTAAAGCTAAACTGAGAAAATTTTCTAGAGAAGGTCTTGAGTTATGTAGTAATACCTAGCATTGGTATAACATTACAGTTTAAAAACTCATATCATTTTAGAGAGAAATGCCATGGAAAATAGAAAAAGGGAAGTTTGAGGGCAAGTTTTGAAATATGGACAGTCATATGCATTTAGATATAATTCAGAGATAGTGGTAGCTGATACAGGATCATGAGAGAAGAGAGGATGAAAAAAGGTCTAAAAGACAGGCATGGACAATAGTTTTGGAAAACTGTGGAGTCATAAGCCTTTTAAGAAAGGAGCTTTCCAAGGTTGGCTAGTGGATACAAAAGTATACCTAGACAGAAGAATAACTTAATGTGTTTTATAGCATCACAGGGTGACTCAAATTAACAATTTTTTTTTTTTGACTTGGAGTCTCACTCTGTCGCCCAGACTGGAGTGCAGTGGCCGCTCCCGGCCACCGCAACCTTGACCTGCTGGACTCCGGCGATTCTTCCACCTCAGCCTTCCAAGTAGCCGGAATTACTACCGGCATGCGCTACCACACCCGGCTGATTTTTTCATTTATTGTAGAAATGAGGTCTCGCTGCCCAGGCGAGTCTCGAACCCGCGGGCTCAGGCAATCCACTCACCTCAGCCTCCCAAAGGCGCGGGATTACAGGCTGAGCCACCGAGCCCGGCTCAAATTTTTTTTTTTTTAATTGTAGAGACGAGGCTCTCGCCAAGTTGCCCAGGCTGGTCTTGAACCTGTGGGCTCAGGCAATCTTTTCGCTTCTGTCTCCCAAAGTGCTGGGATTATAGGCATGAGCCACCATGCCTGACTTTTTTTATTTTTTATTTTTTTTAGTTGGGTTCTCACTCTGTCACCCAGTCTGGAGTGAAATGGCATCCTCAACCTCCTGGGATCAGCTTGTCCTGCCTCAGCCCCCTGAGCAGCTGGACTACAAATGTGCGGCTAATTTTATTTTCTGTAGAGACAAGATCTCACTATGTTGCCCAGGTTGTATGTTTGTTACATGGGCATATTGCATACTCGTGGGGATTGGGCTTCTGGTGTCCTTATTCCCCAAATAGTGAAAATTGTACTTGGTAGGTAGCTTTTTTTTTTTTGAGTTGGAGTCTCACTCTGTCGCCCAGACTGGAGTGCAGTGGCCGCTCCCGCCCACTCCAGCCTCGACCTGCTGGGCTCTGGCGATCCTTCCGCCTCAGCCTTCTAAGTAGCTGGAACTACAGGCGTGCGCTACCACGCCCGGCTAATTTTTGATTTACTGTAGAGATGAGGTCTCGCCAAGTTGCCCAGGCGGGTCTTGAACCCGCGGACTCAGGCAATCCACTCACCTCAGCCTCCCAAAGGTGCAGGATTACAGGCTGAGCCACCGAACCTGGCTAGTAGGTAGCTTTTAAGTCCTCACTCCCCTCCCGTGAACTCAATATTATCATAAGCATTTAATAAACAGCACATTTAAGTCTCAGAGAGGTTCAGAACTGGAAATTTGAACCAATATCTGCCTGACTTCAAAGTCTATGTTTTATAGAAAACATTATTAGGATTTGAAGATAAAAATTATTACAGTTACTTCGTTAAGGAATATAATATAATATGTAATATACTACATTAAAATGTAATATACTACATTAAAAGATGACTTTTTTTTTCAATATGCCTTCTACAACTGAGAGGGAAATTAATGTTTTTAATTCAGTTCTAGCAGTGTGACCTGGGCAAATAGGATGAGCTTTTTTTTTTTTTTGAGTTGGAGTCTCACTCTGTCACCCAGGCTGGAGTGCAGTGGCATGCTCACGGCCACCGCAGCCTCGATCTGCTGGGCACAGGAGATCCTTCTGCCTCAGCCTTCCAAGTAGCTGGAACTACAGGCATGTGCTACCTGCCTGGCTAATTTTTTTTAATTTATTGTAGAGACGAGGTCTCGCCAAGTTGCCCAGGCTGGTCTCGAACCCCTGGGCTCAGGTAATCCTCTTACCTTAGCCTCCCAAAATGTTGGGATTACAGGCTTGAGCAACCGCAATTGACCAAGGATGAACTTTCTTTCTTTCTTTTTTTTTTTTTTTTTTGAGTTGTAGTCTCACTCTGTCGCCCAGACTGGAGTGCAGTGGCCGCTCCTGGCCACCGCAGCCTCGACCTGCTGGGCTCCAGCAATCCTTCCGCCTCAGCCTTCCAAGTAGCTGGAATTACAGGCGCATGCTACCACACCGAGCTAATTTTTGATTTATTGTAGAGATGAGGTCTCACCAAGTTGCCCAGGCCGAACCCGCGGGCTCAGGCAATCCACTCACCTCAGCCTCCCAAGGCGCGGGATTACAGGCTGAGCCACTGAGCCTGGCAAGGGATGAACTTTCTAAATCCGATTCCCATCTGCAAGTTAAATGCAGCAATTTATCTAAAATTCCTGTCCCTTGTAAATGTTTTATAAGTCCCTATGTGTACATAACTAAATGTAAATAATTTCTTTCATTTAGTTTATCTTTGTCCATGCAATGTTTCTTCAAATAATTCTAGATTAGACAAGTGTGATTCTCCTAAAAAATTTATATTTCCTTTAGTCCATCAGTTTTTACTGCTTAAAAGTACAGTGATTTTACTTTTTATTTTGCTTCCAGCTGGGCGCAGTGGCTCACGCCTGTAATCCCAGTACTTTGGGAGGCAGATGTGAGAGAATTGCCTGAGTCCACTACACTCCAGCATGGGTAACTGAGTGAGACTCCTACTCAAAAAAAAAAAAAAAAGAAAAGATTCCATCAGCTTGCCTGATATAGATGCCCATCTTTAGTAGGAATTACACAGCTGAAATATCATCCTAGCATAGAATCTCTTTAGGACAACAGGAAATATTAGACCAGGAATTCCAATCTCATCCTTATATTGCTCCAAAACTTTTAGGTGGATGCCATCTTATCCTCCAAAAGCATAAATTTCATGCAAACAGGAGATTTTGTTTTATTCACTGCTGGATCCCTAGCACCTAGAGCAATACTTGGCACATAACAGGCATTAAATAAGTATTTATTGAATAAATTACTATTTTTCAACAGAAAACTCCATTTATTGATCTCCAGATATAACTAAATTAAGATCGCTGCATGAATGTTTTAAGACGACCTTGACTCCATAAGTATTTATCAAATAAATTATCTAAGTTGTTCCTATAAGTAACAAACATCTTTTCCGTGATTACATTTTTTTGGCATCCTGTAATTTTAGACTTTAAAATTTCTCCTAAATGATAGATTGGTAACCTCAAACACAACTGTTAAGGATGGTAGGACAATTGTCAGTTGCCTTGACTCATTTTTGATATTTTCAGTTTTTAAAGATCAGGACCAGGGCCTGGCATGGTAATCTCAGCATTTTGGGAGGCTGAGATGGGAAAACTGCTTGAGTCCAGGAGTTCAAGACCAGCCTGGGCAACTTAGTGAGACCTCATTTCTACAAAAAAATTAAAAAAATTAACTGGGTGCGATGGTGCTCACCTGTTGTCCCAGCTACTTAGGAGGCTGAAGCAGGAGGGTCGCTTGAGCCAGAAGTTGGAGGCTGCAGTGAGCTATAATCATGCCACTGCACTCCAGGTTGAACAGCAGACTGAGAACCTGACTCAAAAAATAAAAATAAATAAAAATCATAGTTGGACACAGTGGTTCACGCCTGTAATCCAAGCACTTTGGGAGGCAGAGGCAAAAGGATTGCCTGAGCACAGGGGTTTGAGACCAGTCTGGGCAACATGGTGAGACTACATCTCTACAATAAATCAAAAAATTAGCCAGCCATGGTGGCACAAACCTGTAGTTCAAGCTACTTGGAAGGCTGAGGCAAAAGCATCGCCTGAGCCCTGCTGGTCAAGGCTGCGGTGGCCGTGATCATGCCACTGCACTCCAGTCTGGACAACAGAGTGAGACTCTGACTCAAAAATAAATAAATAAATAATAAGTTAAATTAAATAAAAATCAGGACCAGGATGTGCTGCTGTCTCCAGGTCACTCCAGCAGCAAAGTAGCCATGGCAACACCTTGTATATAACCTACCATCTCCTATTTTAAAAATCAAACACCTTCTGGTGAACCGAAGATGTAGGAAATTCAGAATAACTGGCAGGCATATTTAAACTTTTTTGTTTGTTTTTTGAGTTGGAGTCTCACACTATTGCCCACAGTGGCATGTTCACGACCACCGCAGACTTGACCTGCTGGGCTCAAGTGATCCTTCCACCTCAGCTTTTCAGCCAAGTTGCCCAGGCTGGTCCGAAACTCAAGCAATTCTCTCGCCTCCGCTCCCAAAGTGCTGAGATTACAGGCGTGTGCCACCGTGCCTGGATAAGCTTTAAAAGGCGACGTTTTGGAGATCAACCATGATCCACAAAATATACTTTGGTATCTCTGCTAGAGATATAAATGGGTGAAATGGATCCTGCTATATGTAATTTTTTATTTTCTAAAATATATATCTTTTTTTTTGTTATCCTTAACAGGCTTTTTTCCCAAGGACCAGGTAATCTTTTAAAACATATGATCTAGGCCAGGCGCAGTGGCTCAAGCCTGTAATTCCAGCACATTGGGAGGCCAAGGCGAGAGGATTGTCTGAGTCCAGTGGTTTGAGACCCGCCTGGGCAATTTGGCAAGACCTCGTCTCTACAATAAATCAAAAATTAGCCAGTCATGGTAGCTTGCCTGTAGTTCTGGCTACTTGGAAGGCCGAGGTGGAAGAATCACTGGAGCCCAGCAAGTCGAGGCTGTGGTGGCCGGGAACATGCCACTGCACTCCAGTCGGGTCGAGAGTGAGACCCCAACTCAAAAAAAAAAAGAAATCCTTTTTTTTGTTGTGTTCTTAGCTTATTCTTTCATTCAACCAATGTCTACTATGTACTGTTCTGGATGCTATAAATACAGTATTAAATCAAACAAGTAGCTGGGCAGAGTGGCTTACGCCTGTAATACCAGCACTTTGGGAGGCGAAGGAAGGAGAACTGCATGAGCCCAGGGGTTTGAGACCAGCCTGCGCAAGTTGGTGAGACCTCATCTCAGTAACTCAAAAGAAAAAAATGACTTGACAAATATGAGTATACTTCTAAGGCAATGAGGGAGAATATCTGAAATCAGGACTATACCAGAAAGCTAGACATATGATAATTATATCTACCTGGCACGCTGGATCAGCCTATAGGCAATGTACTTGCGGAAAAGGTATCCCAGCCGAACCATGTCCACATGAAGTGTCTCAATTATGAGATTCTTAGCTGTTGTGTGAAGCTGTGAAGGGAGTCCCGAAGTTTTTGTGGCCTGATTTAACAGTATCAGGTTCTTCCTCTGAGCCTCCACATCAACAAAATACCTCTTCTCTTCAAGCTCTTGGGGAGAGGCAGGGGATATCATCATCTTGGGTTTCTTGGTACCTGAAACTGAAGTTGGTATCCAGCTCCTGTCTATAGGGGGGAATCGGGATTTCTGATCCCATTCAGAAGGTGAGATCTGTGATGTTTTGAGTGGTTGAATAGTAAGAAAAGGCAATGATGTTCGAGACTTCATAAGAGTGGGAAGGGCCCCCTCATCGCTGTAAGGGGTTTGTGATCCTAGTGTCCTGTAATTGGCAAGATAGGACTGAAATGTTCTAAGTTGTTTTAATGGAACTTGAGATACCTGGAAATCTGGAGCACCGGGATGGACCCATGCTGGTTTAGATTTCAGAGAAGAAATAATTGCCAATCTTTTCCTAGCAACAGAAGAAGATAAACCTTCTAGGGTCCAGAGCGTGGGGGGATGCTTTGGGGTTGGAGGGATCAATAATGGGGAAGCTTGCCCAGGAAGGATCCATGGTGCCTGATGCTGCCCAAGGGTAAAGGGGGCCTGTAGGTGGGGAGATTGCCCAGGGATGGCAGGAGGCTGAAATGCCTGGGGCTGCTCAGATTCCAGAAGCTCCCTGGGGATGGAAGAGACCACAGGAACCAAGGGCTGCCCAGAAAAGAGAGGAGCCCAGAGACTCGGAATCTGTCCAGAAGTGGGTGGGACTTCAGATATAAGAGGCTGCCTGGAGATGAGAGGGGCCTTTGGTATTGGAGGTGGCTGAGGGGTCAGAGAGCCCCTAGATACGAAGAGCTGCTTGGAACTGAGGGCATCCAGTTCAAAGGGCTGCTCTGGAGTGGGAAGAGCCCTAGATATTGGGAGCTGCCCAGAGGTAGAAGGGACTTCTGGTGCTAAGAGCTGCCTAAGAGTGGATCGACCTCTACATACCAGGGTCTTTCTAGAGGAAGGATGAATCTGTGGTGCTGGGAGCTGAATTCCCATTTCTGGGGACTTCCCAGCGACAAAGGGCCCTTGGCGGAGAGGAGGCCTTGATATTGGCAAAGGAGTTGAAGAGACCCCAAATACAGAGGACTTCTCAGCCATAGGAGCAGATGATGCCAGGGGCTGCCTAAGGCTTGGAGGTAATCTTGAGGTAATGGATTGCCCAGTGGAGAGAGAAGCCTGCGTTTTCTGGAATGGCCTTTGAGTAGAAGGAGCCGATGTGGCATGCTGCTTAGGAATGTGAGGTGTGCCCGGTGTGAGAAAAGCTCTTGACTTCAGATCGTGCTCAGACATGAGAGTAGTACCCATAGACTGCACCTGCCCTGGGGTTAAGGGCACACTCAGAGGCTGGCCTTGCTCAAGGGAAAGGGGAGATTGCAAGGTACTGGCTTTATCTAAGGTGAGAGGGATCCCTGATTTCAAGAACTGTTCTTGTGGAAGAGAAACTCCCAATGCTTGAGCCTGTTCTAAGGTGATAGGGGACTCCAAAGCCTGGGTTTGCTCAGGGCTAAGAATGACAGCTGACACCCAGGCATTTTCTGGGGTGATGGAGACTCCCAATGCCTGTGCCTGCTCCAGGGTGAGAGGAACACCCAAGGCCTGAGCCTGCTGGAGGGAGGAAGTGACCCCCAATGCTTGGAACTGGTCAAGAGTAATAGTGTTTGGTGTTACTTGAACCTTTTCTGGAGTGGTAGGAGCCCCCAGCTTCCAGGCCTGTTCTTCAGTGAGAGGGACCTCTAATACCTGGGCCTGGTCAGGGGTGAGAGGGACCCCCAGTGCCTGTGTCTGGTCAGGGATGAGGGTAATACCTGCGGCCTGGGCTTGTTCATGAGTAAGTGTGATACTCAAAGTCTGGGCTTTCTTAGGAGTAAGAGTGAACATCAATGCCTGTGCCCATTCTGGAACAAGTTGGTTCTGCAATGACTGGGCCTGTCCAGGGATGAGAGGGACCCCCAGGGACTGAGCCTGGGCCTGCTGGGGAGTTAGACTGATCCCCAGGTCCTGGGCCTGCTGGGGAGTGAGAGTGATCCCCAGGTCCTGGGCCTGCTGGGGAGTGAGAGTGATCCCCTGAGCCTGGGCCTGCTGGGGAGTTAGACTGATCCCCAGGGCCTGGGCCTGCTGAGGAGTGAGAGTGATCCCCTGAGCCTGGGTCTGCTGGGGAGTGAGAGTGATCCCCAGATCCTGGACCTGCTGGGGAGTTAGACTGATCCCCAGGGCCTGGGCCTGCTGGGGAGTGAGAGTGATCCCCTGAGCCTGGAGCTGCTGGGGAGTTAGACTGATCCCCAGGGCCTGGGCCTGCTGGGGAGTGAGAGTGATCCCCTGAGCCTGGGCCTGCTGGGGAGTTAGACTGATCCCCAGGGCCTGGGCCTGCTGGGGAGTGAGAGTGATCCCCAGGTCCTGGGCCTGCTGGGGAGTGAGAGTGATCCCCAGGTCCTGGGCCTGCTGGGGAGTGAGAGTGATCCCCTGAGCCTGGGCCTGCTGGGGAGTTAGACTGATCCCCAGGTCCTGGGCCTGCTGGGGAGTGAGAGTGATCCCCAGGTCTTGGGACTGCTGGGGAGTGAGAGTGATCCCCTGAGCCTGGGCCTGCTGGGGAGTTAGACTGATCCCCAGGGCCTGGGCCTGCTGGGGAGTGAGAGTGATCCCCAGGTCTTGGGCCTGCTGGGGAGTGAGAGTGATCCCCAGGTCTTGGGCCTGCTGGGGAGTGAGAGTGATCCCCTGAGCCCGGGCCTGCTGGGGAGTAAGAGTGATTCCCAGGTCCTGGACCTGCTGGGGAGTGAGAGTGATCCCCTGAGCCTGGAGCTGCTGGGGAGTTAGACTGATCCCCAGGGCCTGGGCCTGCTGGGGAGTGAGAGTGATCCCCTGAGCCTGGGTCTGCTGGGTAGTTAGACTGATCCCCAGGGCCTGGGCCTGCTGGGGAGTGAGAGTGATCCCCTGAGCCTGGGCCTGCTGGGGAGTTAGACTGATCCCCAGGGCCTGGGCCTGCTGGGGAGTGAGAGTGATTCCTCGAGCCTGGGCCTGCTGAGGGATAAGAGTGATCCCCAGGTCCTGGGCCTTCTGGGAAGTAAGAGTGATTCCCAGGTCCTTGGCCTGATGAGGAGTGAGAGTGATTTCCCCAGCCTGGGCCTGCTGAGGAATTAGAGGGATCCCCAGATCCTGGGCCTGCTGTGGGATGAGAGTGGTCCCCAGGTCCTGGGCCTGCTCGGGAATGAGGCTGATGTAATTTGTTAGAGGCTGTCCAGAAATAGGAAAGGACCCAGGTGGGGTGGATTGTTCAGAGGTGGGAGGAGTCCTGGGTGTGCGTTTCTTTTTGTCAGGAATATCCTCTGGTGTCTTCAGATTCGTGTGAGACTCTTTTCCTTGGTATAACCCGAGTCCATCTTCCAGGTTATTCCTCCTCCTGGGAGACAATGTCATTGAAGTTTGGGTGACCATTTTCATTAGGTCTTCCTCCCTATCCCTCCCCTGATCCTTTGTCTTGCTCAGCCACTCTCCCATCTCTTTCTCCCTTCCCTTTTTCAGCGCCTGAAGTTTCTCGGCCTTCTGGCTCTGCGTCACCATCTCTCCTTTCACCTCTTCCAAGAGCATCCTTTGCTTGCTCATGGTTTGCTTCCGTGCCTCCAGCCACTGCTGCTTTGGTTTCCATTGCTCTTCCTCCTTTCTCCTTTGGTCTTGCTCCTTATCATGCTCAATCTGCTTTGGAATTTCCTGTTTTTGCTGCTTCTTCCACACCTCTTCTTCCTGCCACTGTAGCTGCCTTTGCTGGCCTTGCTTTCCTGTCTTCAGCTGGAGCCATGACATTTTCTCCTCCAAATTCATATTTATCTTCTCATAACTCTCCTTCCAGAGATTTCTTTCTTCTAGCAATTGGTGTCTGAGACTCCTGCCAGACATTTCTTCTTGACCCTCTTGCAAATATTCCTCCGATCTTTGCTTTTCTTTCTCCTTGTGGTCTTTCTCTATTCTTGAGACAGCTGGAACATCCCTTTCACTTTCTATTTCAGCCAGGATCATTTGCACTAAATTTTTAGTTACTGGATCTATGCTCTCCTGTGACAGGAAGTCGCTACTTTCAGATTTTGTATGAACTGATGACTTTTGGAAATGCAATCCTGGCATAAACGAAACTACCTTTTTGTGTTTCATAGGTTGCTTTCCAAATTGTCCTTCCTTTTTTATAACTTTGTATTTCCTCAAGATTTTAGTTATAGTTTCAGCCACTTTTTGGAAATATTCCTCCATTTTTGCCTTTATGACTCCTAACTTTTCCATTTCTGCTCTTTTTAATGACTCCTCTTCCTTCAGCCCAGTCTTTTTATCAAAAGGCTTTCCTACGTTGTCGATTTTCTGTTTCAGGAAAGCCATTATGGCTTTCTGGAATTCTTCTAGGTTATTCTGTTCACTTTTAATCTCTGGACTTTCTAGAGCTCTGGTAGATACTGAAGTCTCTTTAGCCATCTTTGAAGGTGATTTAAGTTTATGAAACTTGACTTCTTTGTCCAACATTTCCTTCTTTTGGGTTTTTTCTTTGTTTGTGGTCGTTTTTGAAGAGGCTTGATGTTTCTTTTGTTTTATTTTCTCTCTCTGTGGCTCAGAGGTGCCTAAGTGGATCTTCCTGAGTGGCTCCATTTGACCACTCATTTCTCTTTGGCTCTCTCTGTCCCTTGGGTCAATGGCGGACTCCTCTTTCCTCTCTGGGCTTTTGTCAAATAGAAGTTCATGCTTAAACTTCCTGAGTTGCTCCCACATACTACTTGTTTCACTTTTGCCACCTTGGCTCTTTAGTTCAGTAGAGGGAAAATGTTGGTTTTTTGATTTAGCGGAGGACCTTGATTTGACTTCAGAAAAGGATTTCATTCCATTTATTTTCTTTTCCAGTGCTGGTAGCTCAGAGTATTGATTAGATTTGGCCTCTGTGACTTTCTGTTCACCTTTATTATCACGCAGATTTGATCCGAAAGTTTTACGTACATAGGAACTTTTTCTGCGCTTTCTTTTCTGTGATCGGTACTGGTCATCTCCCTGAGAGCCATCATCTTTCTTCAGTGGTATGCTGTCTATAGCGATCCCTTCAGAAGTATCTTCAGAAGGCCTCATCTGTTTATTTTCAGGTAAAGGGTGTTGCTGTTTAGTTACATCGGACGTCATTTCAACTTGGGCTGCATATGAAACAGCTGAGTCCTTCATCATCCCAGAGCCTCCGGTCCCTTTCCTTTGGGCTTCCTCTGTAATATTCTCAAATTCTTTGGCTAAGATACTGTCTATACCACCATCTTTCATAATGGCCAATGGCAACTGTGGAGAAGGTCCGGATAACTCTTTCAAGACTGATGATGTGGGTAGTGCTTGTTCTGAAACAACTTTGGATTGAATACGTTGTTCATATTTTTCTTCTGCATCTTGAAGTTTCTGCTGGAGCATTTCATTTTCTTCACTGAAATCTTGTATTATCTTCAGGAATAACTCTTTTTCTTTTGTACTTGTCTCATCTGTGTACATATTGGTACATTGGAGGTTAAGTATTTTTAATTCCTCTTTTACTGTACTCAAAGCTTTAGAAAGGTTTAATATGGTTGATGATATATATTTAATAACATTGTTTTCCAATCTATTGAACATTGCAGTGCCTATGAGTTCCTGTAGCATATCTTGGATTTCTGAAACCTTTGTATTTGTTGCAAATTCATCACTAATCATCTGATCTGGTCTCAAAGCATGGGCGGTTGCAGGTCGTTTTGTAATTCTTTCTTTCCAAGGTTTCCATAGAGTACCTCTAGATACTGGAAGAAAATAAAACATCAGACAATGAGACTGCATTTTTTCTTTTGCATTGCTCTCTATGTTTAAGCTTAAGGAATTTAGCCTAAATGAACAGCGCAGTGGCTCACTCCTATAATCTCAGTCCTTTGGGAGGCTGAGGCAGGGGGATTGGCTTGAACCCAGGAGTTTGAGACCAGCCTAGGCAGCATAGCGAGTCCTCATCCCTACAAAAATAAAAATAAAACAATTAGCCGAGTGTGGTGGCACACACCTGCAGTCTCAGCTATTCAGCAGGTTGCATTAGAGCCCAGGAGGTTTAGGCTGCAGTGAGCCATGATCGAGCCTGGGTGACAGAGTGAGACCATCGACTCAAACAAACACAACAATTAACAAAAAAAAAAACTATAAGGATTCATCAGAAAACTTTTGATTCAAAATAAATCGTGTTATTTTCAAAAGAATGACTCTTTTAACATTCTGCTTCCAGAAGTTAGGACATGAACTCAGCTGTGACTTCAACTTACATTCAGTTTTAAGTTTGGGATTAGACATAATGTAAACCGAAACTTTCTCTGACTTCAGTTATGCTTAGTGCTTTCCATTTTCTTTCTTGGGTTCCTGTCTCTGTTTTCTCTCTTTTCTGAATCAAGGCTAAACTTGATTCTTTCAACGGGGTCATAAATCAACAGATAAGAGACAAACATTTAGAAGTATTTTCAGAATGGCTGAATGAGAAACAGCAATTTCCCCCACCCCCCCCAAAAAAGCGATTATGAAGCTGGGCAAAGCTGTCAAACAACCATTTTAGGACTCTGGAAATCGATCAAAGGCATACAATAAATTGAGAAGCATTTATTCAAGGAAAACTACTGAGCCTCAGTAAAAAAACAGTGAAAGTCTATTAACACGGATATGATTCCATTCTCATCCCTAGGTCATGGCCTGGAAGTTCTACCAGAGTGAGGTAGGAAACTCTACTGCCTGAGGGGAATGACTTGATTTGGAGTAAAGTTTGGAAAAACCCATGCCCAGGGACATTGTCAAGAACAATGTTTCCTTAAGCCCCACCCAGATCCATTACCAAAGAGGGGAAGCATTACTGGAGTCAATCCACAATTGACCAGTCATTGACTGACCACTAAGCTGTACTCACCTAAGGGTGACCTCTAGGATTCAACCTTAAAGATAAAAACAAAGCTGGATACAGTGGCTTACGCCTATAATGCCAGCACTTTGGGAGGTGGAGGCGAGAGGATTGCCTGAACCCAGGGGTTCGAGACTAGCCTGGGAACTTGGCAAGACCTCGCCTCTACAAGAAATAAAAAAAATTAGCCAGGCTTGGTGGCGTGCTCCAGTAGTTCCAGCTACTTGGAAGGCTGAGGCAGAAGGATCACCTGAGCCTAGCAGGTTGAGGCTGCGACCATGAACATGCCACTGCGCTCCAGCCTGAGCAACAGATAAGACTACGACTCAAAAATAAACAAACAAATTTTTTTTAAGTGGAGAAAAAATTGAGTAAGGCTATTAGTGTCTTCACACTGACAGATGCCATAAAATTAGCCCAGACAAGCAGTTAAAAAAAAAAAAAAAAGCACCGAAAACCCTGTAGGGCAGGAGAAATCGGAAATCCAGAGTTGTTACAATATAGTACCTAAAATGTTCAGTTTTCAACATAAAGAAATAGGAAAGTGTGACTCATACATGGAGGGAAAAAAGCAGCCAATAGAAATTGTCCCTGAGGGGGTCCAGATGCTGACAGGAGAAAATAATTAGCAAACTTGATTCTAGATTAATAGAGATTATTCAATCTGAAGAACAGGAAGGAAAAAGAGTGCAGAAAAAGGACTAAAGCCTCAAAGGCTTGTGGGACACTGTCTTCGCTTTTTCAGGCTGCTATTACAAAATATCACACACTGGGTAGCTTATAAACAGAAATTTGTTCCTCACAGTTCTGGAGACTGGGAAGTCCATGGTCAAGGCCGAATAGTGCCTGGTGAAATGCTGCCTCCTCACAGACAGCTGTATGCTCACACTAACCTCACATGGTACAAAGTGAGACTTCAACAGAAGAAGAAGGAGGGGAAGGAGGAGGAGAAAGAAATTCTCCTAGGTATCCATTCAATTGATTTGAAAACTTAGGTTCACAACACACAAAAAAACTTGTAAATGTTTAGAGTAGTTTTATTCTTCTTTTGTTTTTTTGAGTCACTTTCACTCTGTTGCCCAGCCTGGAGTGCAGTAGCACCCTCATGGCCACCGCAGCCTTGACCTGCTAGGCTCAGGCAATCCTTCTGTCTTAGCCTTCCAAGTAGCTGAAACCACAGGCACATGTCACCACAATTCGCTAATTTTTAAAATTTTATTGTAGAGATGAGGTCTGGCCAAGTTGCACAGGCTGGTCTCGAACCCTTGGACTCAGGCAGTCCTCTCATCTCCACCTCTCAAAGTGCTGGGATTACAGGTATGAACCACCATGCCCAGCTATAGCAGATTTATTCTTAATCACCAAAACCCAGAAGCAACCAAGATGTCTTTCAATAGGTGGACAAACTGTGGTACATCTATATAATGGAATATTATACACCAATAAAAAGAAATGAGCTGTTAAGGCACAAAAAGGCATGTAGAAACCTTAAATGTGCAGGGCTAAGTGATAGAAATGAGTTTGAAAAATTTACCTACTACATGATTCCAAATATAACAGTCTAGAATAGTCAAAACTATAGAGACATTTAAAAAAATCAGCCCAGTGTGGTGGCTCATGCCTGTGATCCTAGCACTTTGGGAGGCCGAGGAGAAAGGATTGCCTGAGCCCATGGGTTTGAGACCACCCTGGGCAACATGACCAGATCTCGACTCTACAATAAATAAAAATATTAGCTGGACATGGTGGCACAAACCTGTAATTCCAGCTACTTGGAAGGTTGAGGCAGAAAAATCGCTTGAACCCAGCAGATCAATGCTGTGGTGGCCATGAGAGTGCCACTGCACTCCAGCCTGGGTGACAGAGTGAGACTCCATTCAAAACAACAAAAGAAAACAAAAAAAACCACCAAAACCAACCAAACAAAAAAAAAATTCAGTGGTTGCTAGGTGCTCAGAAAAAGAGGGGGAAGATGAGTAGGTAAAACACAGGGATTTTTTTAGGACAGAGAAACTATTCTGTATATACTGTAATGGTGGATACCTGACAATATACATTTGTCAAAACCCATAGAACACAAAAAATAAAACTTAGTGTATGCAAATTTTAAGAAATAACCATTTAGGGCCAGGTGTTATGGCTCAGTCCTAAAATCCTGGCAATTTGAGAGGCCAAGGCAGGGGGATTGCTTGAGGCCAAGAGTTTGAGCTCAGCCTGGGCAATATAGCAAGACCTCATCTGTTCAATACAATAAAAATAATTGTATTAATTAATCTATTTTTTGGTTTTTTTATCAATATTTTTTATTTTGATATTGTGGGGTACAGTTAAGGGTTAGGTATACAAATATGCTTTTGTTTTGTTTTTTGCTGCCCTCTGCCCACCACCCATGAAAATAATTTTTAAAAGAAATAATAAAAGGCCAGGCATGGTGGCTCACACTCGTAATCCCAGCACTTTGGGAGGCTGAGATGAGAGGATTGCCTGAGCCCACGGGTTCGAGACCAGCCTGGGCAACTTGGTGAGACTTAATCTCTGCAATAAATCAAAAAATTAGCCAGGCATGATGGCACATGCCTGTAGTTCCAGCCACTAGAAAGACTGAGGCAGAAGGATCGTGTATGCCAGCTTGTGGAGGCTGCGGTGGCTGTGAACATGCCACCGCACCCTAGCCTGGGCGACAGAGACTCTAACTCAAAAAAAAAAAGAAATAATAATTTAGGAGGTCAGGGGAATCCCAGGAAGGAATGCGGGTTGTGACAATAGAATCTAACTGTATCAGAAATACATCACATGACCTCAAAGAAGATGGGAGTGAGGGAAACACTGACCTAAGTAAATGTGGAGATAGATAGAGTCTATAAAACTAAAGGCAAAAAAAAAAAAAAATCCTGCACATAAGCACTGTACTCTAGTTGATAGAGTTGTTTCTTTCTCATGGAGGTATGGGCTAACATTTGGATACTGCTATATATACATGTGTATTGAAATTGAATAAGTAAATGGATGGCAGATAGTAGACATGAGGTTTCTTACTATTTGTGTGGTGATGTATAGATAAGCAAAGGAAGGAAGCTACAATGATCTATGTAATAATGGATTAGAGTTGGAGATATCGGTAAAGATTCATGTTTAGCCAAAAACAGTTACAGATGGTCATATACAGAATATTTACAGATATGTATATATTTGTGGGTTAGTATACAATAGCTGTATGTTTGTTTGATCTACCAATTGACAGGGCCTAAAAGAAATGAAACCCCAAACTGGGCTCGATGGCTCAGCCTGTAATCCCGCGCCTTTGGGAGGCTGAGGTGAGTGGATTGCCTGAGCCCACGGGTTCGAGACCCGCCTGGGCAACTTGGTGAGACCTCATCTCTACAATAAATCAAAAATTAGCCGGGCGTGGTAGCGCCTGCCTGTAGTCCCAGCTACTTGGAAGGCTGAAGTGGAAGGATCGCTGGAGCCCGGCAGGTCGAGGTTGCGGTGGCCGGGAGCAGCCACTGTACTCCAGTCTGGGCGACAGAGTGAGACTGCAACTCAAAAAAAGAAAAGAAAAGAAATGAAAACGCAGCGGCAATGAGCACACATAGCACCCAGATTTTTTTCTTTTGTCTGTTTTTAAGTCAGAGTCTCACTGACGCCCAGGTTGGAGTGCCATGGCATGCACTACCACATCCTCGACCTGCCGGTCTCAGGCAATTCTTCTGCCTCGCCTCTTGAGTAGCTGGATTACAGATGTGTGCCACCACGTCTGGCTAATTTCTTTACTTATTGTAGACACAAGGCCTCGCCATGTTGCTTAAACTGGTCTCCAACCCCTGGGCTCAGGCAATCCTTTCACCTGGACCTCCCAAAGTGCACACTTGGGTTTTT